GTTGAGTTCTTTGATTTTTTGATGCCGCATAACGCGTGAACGTTTCGTGTTGTGTGCCTCTGTGACAGAGAAAAAAAACAATTCACGTAAGATTTTTTCTGATCATATATAGTATCAGGGATTGAAGTTCTATCGGTTTTGAATGACTGTGCCGATTAATTAGTCCTTAATTAAAATGTAGTTAACGTTCTTAGTTTGAAGTTTTCGTATCAGATAAGAAAATAAACCTAATTATCTCAGGTAAGATAAAAATAAGCTATCCTAATGTTCGCTTATCTCTAATTTTCGTTTATCAAATTTTGTAAGGAAAAAATGTGCTAATGTGCAATTAAAAAACAAAGTTAATTATTATCAAAATTTCTTTCAGAGTTTATAAATTATTATGTAAAAATGGAATATATTTTCTACCGTTAATGCATTAACGGCGGTTAAGACATTGTCGGATATATATTTGTCGTAACAGAGCACAGAGTACTATATAGTGCAGCAGGGTACCGGCTGCGATTGTTGGCGCGTGTGGCTTTTCGCCGGAGTGATAACGGATTCGGAATCGCCCACGGGATCGTATCGTAATGAATTGGTAGATTTCCACGATGCGTCGAGTAAATAACGCGTGTTACAATCGAGCGATTTCGTGTTGCATAATGGTCGAGAAGTATCGTCGCTATAGCGATCGCTTGGGAATTATGTATATGTATTGTTGTGTGCATACAGTATTAAATGTATGTAATTAAAACGTGACGAGTCGCCGAATATTTAGGTTATTCTGAAGCTTATGTGATATTTATTGAATGAGGAAGATTAATTATCGCTGAAGCTGCATAATGTGGTAATTGAAAATTTTAATTTGAAGTAATAACAATAGTAATGGAAAATAGTGAAGAACATTTAAGACATATTTAGATTATGATAAAGTTTATGAAAATATCTTTCTCGAAATTGCATGAATTGTAATTAAAATTTTAATAATAATCGAAATGTCATCACGCGGATGATAGTTTATACATTTTTATTGTATCACTTACTTTACTATAATTATTGGATACATATTTTGGTATGAATTTTATTAATAATATCAATTACTTAATTGATGACACTCAACTGGTTAATAAAAAAATTTATTGAACATAATAGAATTAATCTTTAAGTACATGCTGAGTCAGGTTAATTTGATCTAGACACTTTTTTGTGTAATACAATGCAATGTTATTCATAAATATTGTGATTTTGCAGAAATGAATCAGCTGATTATGATAAAAATGTATCATAATCGTTGAGATCACAGTGCAAGAAGAGAAAAGAGACTATTATCGGAGTAGTCAAAATATCAATCTTTGGTACATAACTTGAAAGACAAAATGTCCCAACTAAGCATCAGTACCGGCAAACGGGGAAGAGGCGTTGCGAGTACCTCTGCGTCAACTGTATCCGCATTGAGCAGCTCCACGGACTTGGCGAGCCTCTTTGAGTGCCCAGTTTGTTTTGATTATGTGCTTCCACCAATCTTGCAATGTCAAAGTGGACATCTTGTTTGCACAAATTGTCGACCAAAACTTTCCTGCTGCCCTACGTGCAGGGGCCCACTGGGTATGCAATGTTAAATTTGTTTTCTTACGATTATTGAAATTATTAAGATGAGATGTACTTAATAAATAATTTGACAAGACAGGTAACATCCGTAATTTGGCTATGGAAAAAGTGGCAAGCAACGTCATGTTTCCCTGCAAGTATTCCACCAGTGGCTGTACAGTTTCACTGGTGCATACCGAGAAAGCAGACCACGAGGATACATGCGAGTTCCGTCCATACAGTTGTCCTTGCCCAGGTGCATCCTGTAAGTGGCAAGGATCGCTGGAACAAGTGATGCCTCATCTTATTATGAGTCATAAGAGCATTACGACCTTACAAGGTACTGACTTTTTGTCAATTTATTGTATCTTTGCTATAACTTTTTATACATATGCCTCTTGTGTCCTTACAGGAGAAGACATTGTTTTTTTGGCAACTGATATTAATCTCCCGGGAGCTGTGGATTGGGTAATGATGCAATCTTGTTTCGGTCACCACTTTATGTTAGTACTCGAGAAACAAGAGAAATATGACGGACATCAACAGTTTTTTGCGATTGTACAATTGATCGGTTCCAGGAAGCAAGCAGAGAATTTTGCTTACAGGTAATTGGGCATAATTACAAATTATGGGTATTTATTTGAAAGATTTTAATTAAACTATTCCGTTTAATAGACTAGAACTGAATGGTCATAGAAGACGTCTCACGTGGGAAGCGATGCCGCGTTCTATTCACGAGGGTGTATCGTCTGCAATTTTAAATTCTGACTGCCTTGTATTTGACACCTCCATTGCGCAGTTATTCGCTGACAATGGAAACCTAGGTATTAATGTTACGATTTCTATGGCCTGAGGAAAGCCAGAAAAGGCAATGTAAAGAAAAGAAAAGTGGAAACATAACTGCGCAAACATATCGAGCAGTCTTTTCGATCATGGATGCGATAAAAGTATCTTATGAGACTGCTTGCTATGCACAAATATTACAATTTTTTTATGTTACCAGATAAATATTAGCAATACAGAGAGGTTAAGAAATGTTGTTCGGAGTATGTTGATGATATGCTGCATTCAAATGCCCAGTACAGGACCGCCGTTGAGAAGCTTTAAAGTATACTCGTCTATGACTCTTATGAAAGCAATAAACATCTCAGCTATATCCATGCCGTGACTTTAAAGCTTCGACACTAAGCACAATATCGAATTCCGAAAATAAGTACCTGATATCCACGCTATTGTCCACATTACTCTTGCACATTTCATATAAAATTTTCATTTACAGCTATCTCTAAAGAGAGATTCAATACATAATTGAATTCTACTGACATCGTTTTTGTCTGTATTTTAACGCTTTTCGGGACTCAATATGGCAAATGTAAATATTTTGCCAGACGTAGTATTTCACAAATTTACTTTGAATCTCGTCATGTAATTATTGTGTTTCATTTATTGGTCATATATATTTTTATATTACTATTTATTTTTGTTTGTAAAATTTACTCTGTTTGGCTTTGTAAGACTGTCTCATTCTTTCATTTCTATTTCACATTCTATTTTATCTAAAAATCGAGTGTGTCAGAGTCGGATTTACCAATAGACACTATGCGCACAAATTTATGACACTATGCGCAATCTATCAAATTTTCACAAAATTGTTAGGTTAGGTTAGATTGAGTTGTTTTTAATATAATGTTAACTCTTTTATATTCTAAATTTTAACTTCTAAATTTTATTATATTCTAAATTCTGATTTCTGTTACATCATATATAAGTCAACTATTTAAAATTTACTTATTTATTTTTATTTAATTTTGTTCTGTTATGCTATATTATCTATTACATTACTTAATAACTATTTGATATATATGGAGATTATTTTGTAAGTAAATATAATACTATGTATAATAATTTTTAATGGCACTCTTATGTGCCTGTACACAGCATACTGTTAAATCCGACCCTGCTGCATCTACGTAACGTGCAAGTCCAGCAGCTGGACTCCAGCTTTCTTCATTCGTAATTAACAAGCGCAGTATATTGTTCGACTATTCGGCGATATGATTACACATACGATTTCATGCTTTTCGCAATTCTTACACATAAATAGCAGTGAAAGGCAGATCAATTTTTCATGATCTAGTCTGAATGTCGAAGCAAGATGCTAATATTTTTACAACAATTATATTATGGTGAAGAGCAATGTTCAATTGCGGCAAAGTTCCTGTAAGCGAGATGAAAAACAAGTCAAAAGTGCTGAATTAAATTATAAAAGAAATGTTTTATACAGCTTAGGTTTTAAGTTGTATCGCAAAACTGCAGATATTATTTACATTATATTTGTCTTTAATAAAACCCATTTTAACAATATGGGTGAGGAGAAAAAAGACATTGCTTTGACCATATCAAATATTTGTTAAATTAATAATCTTGATGTTTTTTTACGTAAAATACATTTTATGTGAATATTACGAATGCTATCATTGATAGCAATTGTTCTCGGAGCAGTAGAATTTTCCCATACTATTATAAACATTTTTTAAAGAAATTTTTGTGCTTTTTGAGATACATGCGATTCATTCTTTACATTGTTATGTTACATAACATCTGTAAGTTTTGGGGAGTAATGAGATATCTAAACTAAAGAAAAACAGAGCATTGAGCCGAATTGCGTAACAAAAGTAAAAAAAGCGTTAACGAGAAATTAACGAAAGCAATTAAGAAGTTACAAGAAAGATTATTTTATTAAAAGCAACAATTTAGACTGAAATGTTGCGATATGTGAGTAGAATAAGTCTAATTGAGTAATTTATATTTTTTATAGATTGAGAACATAAGCTTTATTTTCGTTAAGTGATTCATATGATAGTTAAAACGACTAAACGACTCAAAGGCTGCTATAATATTGGATTAATATTGCCATCGAACACTGAAATTTTTAGTTGGTTTAATGCTCTGTAAAGCAATTGTGCAAGAAAAGAAGTTAAGGAGAGTACGTAGATGAAGGCACTGTTATTGTAAATAAAATGCGAAAACTTATGTGATATAATGAGTTATGAATAATATAAATCACAACATGATACGTATTCACGATGTTGAAAAAAAACTCGAGGGAACCAAGTGCACGGTGTACATACACCGTTATATGATTAGCATTATGAAACTTGTACGATTATATTTACGCGTCCATTAGACAGATATTTAATTTTAATAGACTCAAATAAGAAATAAGCGTTCACGCGAGCGTTTTTGGCGGTTACCGAAAAATAAAGGAGAGAAAAAGAAGTCGAATTTCTAATTTTGATGTTGGTTGTTATTCTGTACCAAGATTGTAGTAATTTCTTCCCTACTTTTAGCGTAAAAACATAATTTGACACAGTTGAAACTACAAGAACCAGTGTATCCATTGTATAAGATCCTTGTATAATAAGAATAAATACAGGGATACTGCATAAAGTATTATACGATGAGAAAGAATTACACATGCTTCATAACATGCTGTAGTTTTTTTCTCTAATATAAACTCAGCACTGGACAGTGATCTAATTTATGCTCGAAAGAAACACATTACATTGTTAAGTATTGTGTATATATAAGATTAACAATAGTGTAATCCTTATTCTTTAACTAAGTAGTAATTTATTCTCTAGCATTCGCGAAGGCTCCATTGCTATTTTATTAAACATGATCATAGAGAAAACGTTTTTTGATTTCTTTTGTATAAATATATTTATTATTAATTCATTTGTATCACAATAATAACGATGTTTTCAGAATAAACCACATTAGTTTTATTTAAATTTGAATATAAATTGATATATTCATGTGAATTTGAGTAAAGAAGAACTTAAAGTAGACTAGCGAGAGGAATATAAGATGTTGGAAGGCTTTGGAAATTAATTATTGCGCGACATTGATTAAATGATAATAATTCTGATATATTTTTCGAAATTTGCATGTTAGAATTATATTATAGTATAGCTAACTTTGCTTAAAATTAAAAAATTTTAAAATTATATTTAAAATTAAAATATTTTAAACTTATGACATTAATATTTTGTTAATGAAAAGATTTTATATTTAAAGAATTTTTATGAAATAGAGAGAAAAGAAGGTGACATTCTACCCCACGCATTTTGTACATGCTTTGAGCTATTTATTAATAAATAATTATGAGATTTGATTGCGATTGCGATATAAGAAACGTAATTGTACCAAGCATACTTGGCAAAAGCGTGACATATCCCGAATAAATCGTGAATTCAAGTGATTGAGAATGTAGCAAATTTCCCTTGTTTGACAATTTATGACAGTTATAAAATCGTGTAGATGAATAACACAATACAATCAACAAAGAAATAATGGATCTTTGTATTCTACACGATATCACGACGAAAAGTCAGAGGTGCTCATATATTCGCAGAATAGTATAATTGTCAACAGAATGGCTTTATTTAAATATAATGTATATACGTATATATGCATATTTATAGAATCTACAGAATGTTCGAGCGATGTATAAAAAACATAAATAAATTTTTTTTATAAATCCTTTTTTGTTATATGCAATATTGCTTTTATCCCATTCTACATGTAATGCAAAGCACATTATCTTATAATAAAATACAAATAAAAGCCAAGTCAATTATAATGCTGTGATTAACAGTTACTAAAAAATTATCTAAAATGTAAAAGACGCCAAATAAATGAGCCTTAAAAAACTGTATATTAAAATGTTCTTACTTAAAAGATAATGTATATTTCACATATAAAAAATAAATTAACACATTTTATAATAACAGCTTTTTTATTTTGCAATTTTGTTGTAACATATAATTTGTTCAGATTTTTAAGCTGAAGGTAAAAATACTCAACCAACTATCGAACTTTTTATAAATATACTTTCAGTAGATCTATATATCTAATATATATGAAAAAAAAAAGAATTTTGCTATCGTAGTAGTTGCTATTGCATATTAAATGTAACAAAACTGCTACTATAACTAATTTTGCAAATTATTCAGTATATCAAAATCTATTTTGCTTAAAATAGATGAATTTTGCTGAGTACCTACATTTGTTCGTAAAGACACATTAATTTGTTACTACAACAAAATAATTTATTTCCAACAAATGTATTTTAAATGCAGCAAAGTTATCGCTGCCAATACAAATTTTGATGGCAAAATACAAATAAATTTGTTATAATAGCGATATAATTTGCACATTTAACAAAATAATTTGCAATAAATAAAATTAGAGAGCATCCGTAACAAATCTTTTTCTATCCATATAATAACTAACATGTTTTTTTATAATAGCATAAAATTTGCTAGCAAATTTTTTTTCCATGTATCTTACCTGATGTGTAGTGGTTAAAAATTCATATTATCTACTGCTTGCGTTTACTCAATGACGTTATAGATATTTGCATTTTAAATACTTTTTTGCACATCGTTTCTATTCGCACTTCGTTTCTATTAAAGAATTTATTAAAATAATTATATATCTAACTCTTTTTACGTTCTAAAATACATTTTACAAATCCGTGCAATAGCAATCTTTTTAAAATGTAAAAAATATATACTGATTGTGAGTAAATTTTACATAAAACGTTTTTCGAAACAATAATTTTAAAGATATACAAAAAAATTTTTTAGGTATAGTAGCAATAATAAAAACGCGCATGTCTTATGCATTACATATCCTTGAGAATATTATACATATATTTGAATAAATTGCTTTAAAAAATTTTTAATTTAATATATGTAAGTATAACATATCATATGTGTACACATATGTGTACAAAGAATAATCAAGACAATTCACACTTAATATTTTTGGACGCAAAATTGAAAGTGATACTACCTTTATTCTTCAAAGG